ACTTTGAACTGATTTGAACAACAAGAAGCGGCCGTGGCATTTGAAAAAGTTGCAGACGTTTGCTGGTTCATTCACGTCGCCTGGTAGTTAGGGCATCATTGCCTTCTAACAGTTGGGAGTAAATCTCTACAGTAGTAAAGATGGTTGACCGCAGGAATCTGTAATATACAGTCTACCGAAAATATTTGTAAGCTCATCTTAAGTGCACAAAAGTGTTCCCGACGGACCCAGAAACCATAGGATAATACGAACGCGTACAGGTTAATATGATCTCACTTTACCTGAACCAGAGTCAAAACTAATCTGATGCTCGGTTCGCAGGATACATGAAAAGTCTCCTTACAGTTTTTAAACATAGTATAGCGGCTCTGGAACACTATATTCCGAAAAATGCACTGGCCCAAAACAAAACCGGTAAATTTACTGATGTCATACAGTTCGAGACTTATTGTTCAGTTGCAAAATGTTCTTGCATATGTAAAATTATAAGCAATTTAGTAGGAAAACAGCCGTGGCAGTCCAACTAGATTGGTCAGACCTGCAGGTGGGCCTGATAAGAGGAAGCAAGTTAGAGAGAAGTATAGCTGGGCTAGTTGTGTTTACAACGAAACATCGCTACGTTCAATTAGGGCCACAAATTAACCAACTATAATCAGGCATATGTAAGTTACTTGGAGAGCTAAGGCTACATTTACATATAATTACAGTCACGAATCAGAAGCCCCCTGCCAGTGAGCCACGTTAAATCAGTGATGATTAAGTGTTCATCGTACCTTCTGAAATCCATTTTCAAAGTTAGCTAAATAGAAACCAATAGGATAAAAGAGTCTTCCAGTAACATCGTCTACAACCACCCTTATTGAGAATGACGGATTACCTTGCCTCTACCTGCTACTGTTGAAATGCGGGATATATTCCCGCTCTTTACTGTCGCACCTTAACTTATCGCAGGGCGTCAACTAAGTTAAACCCTGGCAACTGGGATCCTCAGACCCGGTTTCTTATGAGAAGAGAAGTCATGGAAGGTCAGCTTGGTAGGAATAGTTTATTCATCACAGAAGGAAGCAGAGAACAGGCAAAAGGAAATTGGCTGTCAACCGATCGCACAATCCCAAGCCAGCGGAGGACGTCTGAAATGATGCCTGCTTGACAGTCGTCACATGAGGTCTTCTGCCAATTGGCATGTGATTGGCTGTTCCAGATGTCGGAAACGGGAAGCGTTCCCAAGAGTGCGTTGACTTGAAGTAGTCACAGCAAGCGTTCGCAAGTGCACTCCGTGTGGAGCTAGTCACTACATACTTACCTTAACTGTTAACGTTAGACGCTCCCTCTTTACTAACGTGAATTCTTTATTGAGGGCCTCTTCCAATGTTCTGACGATCAGTTGGCCCTGGCAGGACGAATCTAGTGCTATTTTATGAGTAGAGAAGAAGACACGTCGATTACCGGAATCATGGTTTTATTCGTCTGAGTTTTCGAATTCTTACCAGAGTCCATCATCAGAGATAAAAGCAATCACCATTATCGACGTGCCTCCTTCTTTACCTATACATGCATCTGCGATGCGAACATTACCCTCAATTCGTAGTTTACGAGTCTCCTTCTCCTCCTCTTAGGCATGACCTACGCTACTCTGACCCTCTTTTCAACTGTGCTCATCCTTCTGGCGGCGACCCACATTAATCGGTGGCGACTGACCAAGAAGTACGGCGTCTGCCTGATGGTGGCCTACCTGGCCTTCTTGATCCTCTGCAGCCTCTATGAGTTGAACGTATTTGGCATGGTCCATCCACCCGAATGTCCATATGTGGGCGGGGACTGAAACCCAAGTTCGCCCCTCCTCATCCTTCCCCTCTGCCTTCCTACACAGCTAACTATATTTATATATGCATTATTTATTTATTGTTGTTTCAACATCCCTGATACCCTCGTCCCGCACAGTCCTTTTAGCCTGTCCCTGAATAACTTCCATCCGGCAGGGATTTCGATGTAAACCCGGTAGAATCCACCACCCATTCACATGTATAGATCAGGGTTTTCTGGCATCTCTTGTAAACCCACAAACGCACATGCTTTTCGCTTCTTGTAGCTCCAGCCTCCGTGAAATGGAAATTATTTGTCAGTTATTTTTATTTTGTGGATTGTTGTTGTTCATTGTCTCAGTTTTCGGTTACGCCATTCAAAGATTCTTGCAGTTATTCTGTTTTCTATTTCACGCACCATATTTACCAATTTCCGCTGACACCAACTTGCCAGGATCCAGTCGCAGTATCTGTGAGGTATTCCTAATTCAGAAGTTATCAGCATAACTGTGATTCCCTTCAATCTTTGTCAAACTGTTTCAAGAGACTGTTGTAAGAGTAGAGTACATTTTACCTGTAAATGTTTGTTTTTCCTGGGGGCACCGATTAAAATGTTGTTGATTAAATACCCTGTTAATCCTATACCTAACTTTGACGAATATGGCGAGCACGGCCTATGTACTTCTCCCGCTAGATATTGCCATTTCGCGCTGATAAAATGGTCATATTCTGTGGCATATCGTCAGGTTAGTTGCTATGATCCTGTGATATTTACTATGTCAGTATCAGCGACTGCCAGTAAGAAAACACTCTTCAATGTCGTCATCTGCCAGCAGTTTCTGGCCAGGATTTTAAAGGTAGAACAGTAGACTGTACGTACCCACAGATATGCATGCTCCATGCTTCCACAGAAAGCGCACAAATGTCCTTAAGTGAATATTACTAGGCTGAAAGATCAGCGATCAGTAAGCATCGGGAAATCCATGGAGGGTAAAAGTCACGAAGAGACTGCCACCTGCGAGGCCGAACTCGGTCAAGCTATGATAGCGGAGAGGCCAACGACAAGGATGATACTGATCGGCACAGACTTCTACGATTTTTAGCTGATGGCCATACAGTCGAGTTAGAATCACGTTCGACTTGAAGGTGGAGACCTCGATTTGACGTACGCCACTTTCGTACCGGAACCTCCAGACAACGAAGGGCTAATTAGTGCATCGATGATCCTAGCAGACTTAACCAACTGGTTGGCGCAAATAAATACTAAAGGCTGATTATAACGGGTCCTGAATTGGAGTCGTCGCATTTGTTGAATATTTGACACCTAAAAAGCTGGTAAATATAGCGTTCTTGGGACTGGTTTTTGTTATGAATAGGAATGCCCTCTAAGTGGCAATGAAGACTGGACGGTCAAATGAACAGCTGATTCACTGGAAATAAATATATTCTGGACGTGTGATCAGTAATAATCTCGCTTCGCGACCGAATTCAGTTACTATTCCCACAAACGCAAAAACTGAGGAGTGTTAACTGACTTTAAGACAACACAATCTGAAGATTTGCACAGAAAGCTGCGAGGTCTTTGTTCTCATAAATAGCAATTTTGCGCAGCCAATGTTCTTAAAACTTCCGGAAATCCCTACAAAAATGTCCATTAGTTGGTATCTTGCATCCCAAACGAAGTATTATAAAAATTTAATGGGATAGTCTGGTATTCCACGTATATTGCACACTCCAATCGCGTGCTTGAGATGAAAAAACAAACAAACAGATGGCAGTTCCAGATGAAAGTGTAGGCTAACTTTTTTTGTCCGAGGTAGCCAGCCAGTCGTACCGGCACACATAAAGGGTACACTGCGCATTGCGAACCCATTAAAAGTTCCCGGCAGACCAAACGTGCTTTCCTCTCCATAGCCGAAACGGTACTCTGCATAGGCAGAATAATTAGGGTCGTGTGGGCAAACTCCACAATATCGGTAGAAAAAAGTATCACATCGATAGCCGATAATGGTGGTAAGATTGCGTCCATCAACGACTCGGGAGGGGATAACTAAGCCAAGTCGGTGAGCTGCTGGTTTTGGGAGGTATGCAGTCGTATAGTAAGTGCATCCTATGAATGTCATAAACCTGTTGTGTCAATCGTACTGGTGCCGCTTCCGATTCAGTGCAAGTCCGAAACATTAGAGGAATAAAATTCTCCCTCGAGCGATTGAGTCTCGCTCTCAAACTGTCTCACTTCGAAGTAAAGTGGTGGTCAAGCTCTCTGGAGGAGGAGAAGAGTACAAACTTACCTCTTCCACACCAGACAATGTAGAACTAGCGGCGGAATTTAAAATCAGTGCCGAAAACGTTCACGTACAGGTTTCTACAAAAGGGTTCGTTTGAACCAACGTGAACATCTGCGACTTCGTTGTCGGAATATTGTGTAGTATAGTTGTCCTGATAGTGCAGAATTTAAATAAGTGGCTAAAGATTTCTTAAGATTTGTATGGAGTCATCGGATTTACCAGAAAGTACACGGGGATGCTCGAAGACGCACTAATGAGCCGAACCCATTACATCTGTGATATATGTATGGTAGCAGAAAATCGGCAAAACTCATGTGTCTGAACAGTTATATAGTTCATATGCTGCCAGTATGCTGTAACCGAGGAAGCTTCAGTTTTTGTTCGCATATTCGGTAGTCGGAACAGATCAAAGACGTCTGCCTGCCGATGATGAGGTTGGATGCGAATGAAATAAAAATCCCGCTGTGAGGACCGACTCCTCATAAGTCGACAGTATGGATAGATAGCGCGTGTACTGTAATATAGTAACAAACTACACAGCGTCAGCTGGGACTTTGATCCATATCTTACCAACTTTCACTGGCAAGGTGGAAGGCTGAGAATGGAGGCTGGCTAACGCATGAAAACACGCTACGGAGGCCTGCATAGTGACAGACAGAAAGAAGTCTTAAAGCCAATCAAGTAAGTCGTAGGTGTTGGCCGTCCCAACCCAACGCACACACCGCGTCCGAACTCACTCGAACAAGCTCAGTTTCTGTGGACAGATCATGATAGGCCACGTGGGGCTCACTTCGCTGCCCGACAACGACCGCGCATGTCAAATTTGCTTAAACCCGACAGTTTATAAAAACGAAATGCAAAACGGACGATAACACACTTATATTTACTTTTACAAAGACTCTTAACATTGACATCATCGTCATCATTTTTCGAAAACCCATGACAGATTTAGACCAGATGCTCCGAGACTAATAGACCTAAGTAAAGGAAAAGGTAAGCGGGAGTACAGGGGATAAATTCAAAAACCCTACCTTATCGTTTCGTCCTGTTTGTGGTAGAAGTAGAAGAACATCAGCAGAGCATGATAGAAATTCCGTTGGTCCTGTGAGCGAAAACAATTAAAGTAAAACCAGAAAGGTACCGGTGGGAAAACGTAGATTGTGCCAGCAAGAACAACCTTGATGACCGGCGGCTGAATCCTTGAAATGTACAACTGTGCCGTGTACTTTGCCTTTATGTCTGAAAATGGGAAAAAAGACACTCAAATAAGGAGGCCGGTAGAGCAGACGACTTTAATCTCGATGGCAGTACATCTTGTCCGGGTACCCAAGGGTCTCGGAAAATATGAAATGGAAAATTTCCGAAAAACAGGGGTAACATCAGCATAATATTGAAAGAAGAGACTGAGCGCTGGGTCGCACGTGGTACTCGAGCGGAAGCGCCAGTGTCCCAGCAGACGATGGTGTTCTTTGTGTGAATTGGCACGTACAGTATCTGCAGCGCTCACCAAAAGTATAGGAACATTGAACGATATTTATCGCTGTTTTAGAGTAACGAAGACTGGCTGGGTGAGGCTACAAAATTAATTGACAGGGCCGTAATCCCAAAACAATTCAAATACAGCGGCATTTTGACCTCTGAGGCTCCTTCCAGGCATCTGTAGAAATTATGCCTGACAAAAGCTGCTACATACGGCAAAAACGAATCCCTAAATGAGTAGTACACTACATGGCGTTAGCAAACAAAAAATCAGACTGCACTATCCACCGCGGAAGTATCCACATACCTGGTTTGTCCGGGTGTCGAACAACGTGCAGCTGATCGAAGGACCTTCCAGACAAGCACTTGGGGTGTGGTGGCAGACGGCAGTCCATGTAAGTGGAGAGCAAGTGCAAGAGGATCTGAACAGAAAATTGACCCAATTGCAACATTTTATAGTTTTATATAATATACTACTTGACGTAAAGTGATACCATAAGGCTGCATCGATTTGGGCTTTATAGCGCCCTAGTATGTACCCTGAGAAAAGTAAATACGCATGGAAAAATGCTAATTTGGTCAGAGGCTACCAAGAAAGGAACATTGTGATGAAACTTGGCAGATAATTCAAATGCAGAGGCAGATTGAGGCAAGTCTTACAAGTGAATGCGCTCTACATTGATTAACCCTTCATCATAAATAATACAAGGATGCTGTTTAGTAACTGAAGTG